TCATGATTGGTGTGCCTCCAGGCTTGGAGGGTTTGCCCTGTGTTGATTGGCCAACTGGTTGTTATGGCCCATAGGCCCTCCCAGGGTGGTTGCTATACTTTGTGCGTCATTGCTGTGCGCTTGTCTGTAAAGCACACCCAGGGTGGTAAAGCATAGCGCCACCAGCTAACTTCTGATTGGTTCCTTGTCACGAGGCAGGCATCTAACTTTCTAGTGTCTAGGACAAGGTCATAGAAGCACGTGTTCGGCTGTTATGGCTGCCAAAAGGGAAGCTGGTCCCTTCAGTCAAAAGTTAAATTTCAATATATAGATTGTGTTAATGATAATATAACATGATTGTTATATTTGGCCTTGTGGATAATAGGGTTAATATTAGCTAGTTTAATTAGCTAATCTTAAAGTCACTTGAAAAAGATCTTTAAAAAATTTATGTGTATGTTTGCCTGAATGAGTTTATGTGTCCATGAGCTTACAGAATCCTGAGGAAGTCAGAGAGGGCATGGGGTTCTGGGAACTGGAGTTATAGGTGATTGTGAGCCACCATGTGGGAGCTGGGAACTGAACCCAGGTCTTTGGCAAGCAGCAAGTGCTCTCGCTGTTAAGCCATTGCTCCAGCAACAAAGCCACTTCTAGAAATTGGTAAAAACTTGCCTTAAGTTTTAGAAAGGGTTTCTCTGTGTAACAGGGTTTAGACAGTGTTTCTCTGACCTGGAACTCACTTTGTAGACCAAGCTGGCCTACAACTCACAGATACCTGCTTGCCTTTGCCTGAGATTAAAGGTGTGCACCACCCAGCTTAAATTGAAGTTTTAAAAGTTAAGTCTGCAGATTTGACGTGTCACAGAGACATAAATGTTCATCCCCTTTTTCAGTGCCGGAAACCTGATCAACATTTCAAACCCTACTTGACTCCTGACTTGCCTAAACGACTGCACTATGCCAACAATGTTAGAATTGACAAAGCTCATCTCATGGTGGATCGCCAGTGGCTGGCTATGAGGTTTGTGTCTACTCCCAGCAGAAACCTTTGGGCGAGTACTCCTTTAGAGCTCCTCTCCTGTTAGGGGTTAACTTCTCTGGCCACCCACAAGGCCCAGCACTTCCTGGTTGCTGAGACTTTTGTTACAGGATTGCTCTTAGGGTCTTGATTGTCATGATACAGATCAAAAGAAGGAGGGAGATTGAAACTGCTTACAAGGGCTCCAAAGACACGAGTGGCAGTGCATTTTTACCCTGACACACAGAGTAAAGGCTCTGTCGTCATCCAGGCTGAGAGTGGCCATCAAAATGACTAGATGGCTCTTTGAGACTCTTGTCTTCCTGGCTTCCATAGTAGTCTTTTGAAGGCCAGGGTTACTAATCGGTGGTGACACTTATCTCTGAGCAAATAAGCCAGAGAACAAATGCACATCTACCTTCGAGTCGCAAAGTGATTCTAATTTTTTGTTTTGTTTTGTTTTGTTTTTTTGAGAACGGTTTTTCCTTTGTAGCTCTGGCTGGTCTGAAACTTAATATAGAGGCAGCGTGCCTCTGCCTCCTGAGTGCTGGAATTAAAAGTGTATGCCACCGCACCTGGCTTGATTCTGAGTTTTTTTTCTATATGTTTTTCTATATGTTAGCATTTTTTTTCTATATGTTTGAGTGACTGTAAACAGAATCCGTGTCATTCTTTACTTTCTGGCCTAAGGGTTATCAGTGCAGCATAATGCTGGTGGCGAAGGGGTTAATCCTGAGGTTAAAATACATGCTAGACAAAGAAAGGTAAGATGGAAGAAGTCAGGGTCATTGGTCTCAATATGTGTACGCAGGAAGAGAAACTGGGGCACTTGGCTGAATTTATTCTGTAAAGATAACCTGGAAACGGCCGGGCATTGGTGGCGCACGCCTTTAAACCCACCACTCGGGAGGCAGAGGCAGGCGGATTTTTGTGAGTTCAAGGCCAGCCTGGTCTCCAGAGCGAGTGCCAGGATAGGATCCAAAGATTCACAGAGAAACCCTGTCTCAAACAACAACAACAACAACAACAAAGATAACCTGGAAACGCAGTTTGATCAGACCATATGCAGTTCCTCACTTTGTCACTAGATGGCAATAGCCTCTCCTTGAGAATGGGTTTCTTAGCCCTTTGTGTCTTCTGTTTGTGGATCCTGGTTCAAGACCACATTCTCTAAAAGTATTTCTTTAAAATATGTGAACAAAATCAAACAACTATTAAACATAAGATGTTAGTAATTTAATATATCTAAATGGAGGTTACCTTTTGGGGTATGAAATAAGAAAAGTTAGGAGGCCATCGGTACATAACGACCTAGGATTATAGAAGGTGGGTGTGGCCACCAAGATACCTCTAGGCACCATGTGCCAAAGCCCAGTTCCAAATGATGGGCTTTGTATCCTTTTCAAAAAATAGCAGTGAGGTCATATTATTCCCAGACATCTCCACCTTGAAACAGGAATCAGTATTCCTCCAAGTTTCAAAAACTCTGTTCCTAAATGACTAAATTCTTAGTCATATTGAGCTTGATGTTCAAAAGTGAGTTTGACCATAAAATCTTACAAAATTTTGGTTCATATTCCTTATTTTGTTTGTGTATGTATGTGAGTGAGCATGTGTGGATGTATGGCCACAGGTGCCAAGGTGTTCGTGTGGAAATAGAAGACAGTTTCCAGGAGTTGGTTCTCACTTTCCACCATGTTAGCCCAGGAGGTTGGTCAGAGTTCAATCAGGCTTGATGGTGATCACCTTTATCTGTTGAATCTTTTCCACCCACCCTGAGGTTGAAACCCTGGAATCTGTGCTATTAGTGTTGCTCCTTTGTCAATGTCCTAGAACTAGCAATCTTTGAATTCTATTTGTTTTTTTTTTTTTTTCTGTTTTTTTTTATTTGAATTACAAACAAGATTGAATTACATGACAATCCCAGTTCCCTTCTCCCTCCCTTCCTCCCCTACCACCCCCCAACTAAAACCCTACCTATCACATATCCTTTCTTCTAATCTACACCTGACTCAACCTTTCTGCTCCCTCATGACCTCTGCATTCTTCCTCTTCTTCCCTTCTCATTCTCGTAGCTCCTTCCGAATTCTCTTTGTAATAGCTGGAATTCTCATTCTTTCCACCCTACTCCTCAGTTTATCAATGGCTGTGAATTTGACCATGAAAACATAGGTATTTGGTTGCCAGAAAAGTTCCTTTGAACACAGATGCTATACAAATAGCCATTAAAGCTTGACTTAAAACAAATACACTGACCAGTGTATAATGATGTTACCTCTTCACAGGAGTAAATCCAGTTCAAGCTGTGGAGGAGGGACACATGGCTACAACAACGAATTTAAGAGCATGGAGGTAACACTGCAGCTTTTAATAGAAACGAGTCCACAGTGAGATGAGAAATGACTAATACAGAAGGCAGATGTGGTTTGGTATGGCGGGAGATAAAGCAGAGCAGGGTGAGGCTCGGGGTCGGCGTCTTTGAGGGCAGGATGCAACTTTAACTCGTGTGAGAGAGTTGGAGATCCCCAGGTGACATTTGAGTAGAGACTCCAAGATGACATAGTTCTTTCCAGGATTGAGGGACCAGTGAGTGTCCCTTGCGGAAAAATTAACCAGTGCAGGAGCCCTACTTTGGGGCATTCCTCATTTGTTGGGGACAAGGAAGCCTTGGCAAACTCCGGAAAGGCGTTTGACTGTGGCTGCTGTTGACTTTGAAGGAGGAGGCAAGGGAATAGCTGGGCATGCAAGTCTGAAGTGTATATTAAATGTACAACGAGGGATGTTGAATAGCAGTTAACGGTCTATGCTGGAAATAAAAACTCAAGTCTCAGGCACAGAAACTGTTTAATACATAGAGGTCAAGGTGATACACTTGGGGGTTGAATTCAACACAGAGAAAGCACAGACACAGTGCAGGGCATCTCTCTTTGGAGGAAACAATCACAAGAAAAGGAGATTGAGGTAGGTGACAGTGAGGAAGAAAAGAAGGCGTTTGTAGAGGTCTGATGCCCAGGGAAGGAGTCCTGAAGAAGAGCCCCAGAAAGCACAGCTCACACTCCTCCATAGCAAAACCACACTGAACTTGTGGTCCCTGCAATTTGATTCTCCTACCTTTGAAAAGTTAATTGTTTGGGGTATTCCATGGACCAAAAAGAATTCTGTGTTTGTCACCTTACTTGTTTGTAATCTTATATAATGAGATCTGTTAAATAATGTCAATTATTTAATTAGTTAAATAAGAATAAAAATATTTAGGTCACTCTACCCCACAAGTACATGAAGAGGTGTTAAAGAAGAGTTTAGGGATTTGTGCAGATGTTTAACTCTGAAAGGACCAGCGTTTTCCCTCATGCATTACAATCTTTGAGCAGTGACATGCAAAAAACAAGAAGAGTGAATAGTTTGATACGATGGATTTTTAATGTGTACCTTCTAGATGTCCAGGAGTTATGACGGTATAAGCTTACTGCTGTTGCTGGATTCCTCCTAATCTGTTGCATGTGAGGAGCTGGGGAAGCAGGTTAAGAGAGAGCAAATACAGCTCTCATCACAGTTGAGTGTGATTGCACAAATCACAGGTGGAAACTGTTTTTAAAACAATGTATCATCACTAAAAGAATTTCTTACCTAGTCCTAAGGAACAAATAGAGGGTTGTTCCAGAAGGAAATGGGTAATGAGTCTTTCTCTGTCCTGACAGCCAACTCCCAAACAATGACACGGAGACTTATTAATTCTGAAACCTTGGCCTTTAGCTGAGGCTTGTTTTCAATTAGCTCTTATAACTTAAATTAACCCATATTTGTATTAATCTATGTTCTACCTCGTGGCTTTATGTCTATCATTCTCTGTGTCAGGTTCATTCCTCCTTTCTCCTTCCCAGAGTCCTCTTTGTCCCTGGAAGTCCTGCCTAACCTCTTCCTGCCTAGCCATTGGCCATTTAGACCTTTATTAAACCAATCAGAAGGTACCTTGGCAAAGACACGTCTTCATAGCATAAACAAATATTCCACAACAGAAATGTATGTATGTCTCTTTCTACGCTTGTGAGTTAAATGTCATCTAGTAATAACTTAACTCTTACCATGTAGGCAATCTTTTTGGCACACGGACCCAGCTTTAAAGAGAAAACTGAAATTGAACCATTTGAAAATATTGAAGTCTATAATCTACTGTGTGGTGAGTATGTTTAAGTCAGCTCACAGCAGGGGTACAGAGTTTGTAATATATTTCTGATTTTAAATTGGGAATAAATTGAAAGTGACCTGCCCTTATTAAGAAGATGGGAAGCAGAAAGATAAGAAAAGTTTCTTAGTAAGTGTTTGTGGTTACATAAATGACTCATTTTGTTTTACAAATAATGATAAATCTTGTATCTTAGGAAGCCAAGTTTTTTTCTTAAACATTTTAGTGACTAAATGATATTTTTTAAAAATTAGAAGAGTGAAATAACAATTCTAATTTTTGAAAAGATAAATATACCTGAGTCCTCAGAGGTATGTCAGGCAGTAAATTGCTTGCTGCATAAGCATGGGGACCTGAGCTCAGATCCTCAGCACCTGGGGTAAAGCAGTTCATGGCAGTTACTGATAGAACAAATGCAGGCAGATCCCTGGGGTTCACTCGCCAGCCAGTCTAGCCAACTGACTCAGCCATGTCTGAAATACGGTTGAAAGAAGTTGAAGGAGAAACATGATAGCAGTTTCTGGACTCCACATGCACACACATACATACATACCTGCATCCATATACACATATGCAAACACACACACACACATACATCACACACACATACATACACACACACACACACACACACACACACACACACACACACACACGTATATACATATACACAAAAACTCAGCTAAAAAATGTTTTCCTATTGCTACAAGGAGAAGTCTTCTGTAACTAAAAGGGGTAATAAAGACTCATTTTGCAAGACACTTGTTATTACACTAAGTGTTAAAAAATCCATGAAGAATTAGTGTTTCAGGAACCAAATCATCTACCTGCTTGCCTTCGTCTACCATATCAACAGGTCGTTCGCTTGGAAGGTCTGAGGAGGGAGGAGCTGTGATTTCACTGTCAGGTGGACACGGACAGATTCACTATTATTTTCCTTAATCTTGCTGTTGGCTTGTCATAATTGAATGTGACTTAGGAGGACAAAAAGTCTCTGTTTAATCACAAGGTGGGACCTGGCAAGGTGGTACAGTGGGTAGAGGTGCCTTCTGAGTTCAGTCCTGGAATACGCATGGTGGAAGGGGGGAACTGATTCCTACAAGTTGTCTTCTGATCCCCACATGCATGGCCTTCCCCATCACAATAAATACATAAATTAAATAAGTAGACAAATGCATACATACATAAACATACATAAATGTCAACAACCTTAAAACAGCCTTATTTGTTATAGCCTTAACTTGAATTCTTGGTTTCCATAGCTGGGCTTGGATCAGGGATGCTGACCTTGTTGGGGTGATCAGAAGGAACTGGACAGGACTTGAGGAGGTGTTAGGTGGTAGAATGACACAGGAATCTAAGGTTCATCATACCAAATGCCCTACAGGAAAAACAAACAAACAAAAAAACAACTTGAAGAAGTTAGTGTAAGGGAGCATGCTCATTCAAACTGGCTTTGAAAAAGACGTGAGACTTTCGGGTACAGAGAGCTTTTAGGAAGGGAGAGGAGCAGGCCAGAGAGACACAGGTCAGAAATCTGTGTGCTGGGTGTGATCTTACACATTCCAGGAAGCGTGTGCTTTTTGTTCTGAGAGCCCCATAATGGACTTCGGTTTTGCCATCACCCTGATTCAGTTGTCTGTGGGTCCTTCGCACTACCCAGATAGAAGTCCTGTGCAGGCAGAGGAGAGCCCTTCAAGCACTCACGGGATTCTCACATCTTCTATTTAGTTCTACCAGAGCTTGGGGAGCAATGGCAGCAGCATCAACTGCAACAATCACGTGGCGCCCTCTAGTGTTCAGTCCTCCTGCAGGTCTCGCGTATCAGGCCTCTTGGCCCTTGACAGCAGGAGTGTTTAGAGCTCTCAGCCAGGGGTTTGAGACCCTAGACTGAGAGACTTGACAGCCCTCTGGTACTCATTTGGTGGCCAAGGTCCACATGTTCTCTTCTCTGGCACCAGATAGCTGTTTATCCTTCGTCAGTACTGACTGCCCATTTTCTCACCATGTGTATCTTTTTCTCTTCCCATGGCTTTAATCTCTGCCCTGGCTGCTTCCTCAGCTTGGTTGGGGCCAGACTAGTCTGGGTAGCTGCCTCTGCCAGGACTGTTTGGGGCATCGAGACAGGTCACTCAGGAGGCTGGGACACCACTGCCACAGCCTTCTTCAGCTCTCAAGCAATCCCCTGCCTTGAGGCTTTCACCGTCTAGTTTGTGGACTGCTCCCAGAATCGGCTGCCGTTGTTACTCTGTTGCCCCCTGGTATTCTGCTTTCTCCACCATTGTCTCTGTGGTTGCTTTCCTTGTGCTACAAGCGCAGTCTGCAATGCTGACGACAGGCCACAAAGACAGCCCCCGCAAGACAAGCCTTGGGGGTTTGTGGGGGCTGATCCTGCAGCCTCAGGGGAGGCGGTGCAGGAGATTACCTTCCAGCCCACTCACTGGGTGCACTGCAACCGGTTTGGACTAGTCACAGCCATTTGTTTGGGTCAATCAGACCGTTGTCTCCTAGCACCAATCACAGTTTTCGAGACTTGTGTTTCTTACCAATTGTAGTGCTAGTCACAGCTAAGTAGAAGTGGTGCCTCTCTGTCTGACCCAGGTGGGAATGACCGCCGGATCAGCTACAGTTCGTAGTGGACTGTGATAATGCAAAGTTCATTAGGAAGGACTGGAAACGCGGCTGCGGCTCTGCCCTCAGGAGCAGAGGACATCCCCTACCGTCTTTGGCAGAAAGGCATCAGTGAAGCGTTTGGGATAACTGGTATGGGCATAAAAGCATCCACTAGGAGGCGTCCTTTCACTGCAGTCAGGAAGACAGCAAGAGAAAAAGTGGCTTGCCTATATCTATCTGTCTCACCAAAACTAGTTAACTAGACCTGAGGAACAGCCTCGCCAGCAAAAAGGGTTAGTTAGGCCCAGTTTCAAACGACCCGGTTATCATTCAGCTTCTAAAATGACGATACCTATAAAATATTTGATCTGAAGCCAGGCGTTGGTGGCGCACGCCTTTAATCCCATCACTTGGGAGGCAGAGGCAGGCGGATCTCTGTGAGTTCAAGGCCAGCCTGGTCTCCAGACTGAATGCCAGGATAGGATCCAAAGCTACACAGAGAAACCCTGTCTCGAAAAACCAATATATATATTTGATACGATTTTTTACAGGAAAAATAGAAAGTTCACTAAAGAACAAAATTTGCTGGTTTTATATTTTTATTATGCTAGGTGTGTGTG